ATTTAAATAAATTACTGTTGTCTAATGATGCAATAATTTAAAACCTACCATACTGTAGAAAAGTAGCAGGGAATTTTATACTATTAGTGAGAGTGAGAACGGTCAGCCGCTTCACCACCTTAACTCGCTTCTAGTGATTTATTTAATAACCGAGTAGTAGGTAGGGATGAATAATGTGGACATACTGACTTATAATTAGTGCTTGGGTTAAATGGAACATTATGGATTAGCATTTCCCTAATCTATACCTACTTAATCTTACTATACGTGCCTTCACAATTCACGACTGATTCACTCATTTCTGCTATAAGGTAGCATATGGGCGCTTTCCTCATTTAAAAACTCCATTTCGGCAGGATAATAAAAACTGATTCTCACGAAGAAATGTGATTTCGCAACACGAATGTTTAAAAATGTATTATTGCCTCTCAACGCTTGCTCCTCCCTCCATTCTTTTCTTTGGGAGTTTCAAGATGGTACGTTCCCTTATTTTTGTATGCATTACCTACGTCCAACACGCAGTCCCACGGGAAAAATTTAACAAGTCCATTAGAGACACGTGCAGGGCAAAACAGACAAAAAAGAAACATCCACAAAGATGGGATTGTCTAAATCACATCGTATACGAGGGCGAAAAACATAAAAGGCACTTGCTTTAAATTTGCTATTATTTATATATCTTTTTGTTGGTCTGTAGTTTAAGTTTAAAGTGTGTGTTTTGTTTCAGTTTTTGTTTCGTCGATAGAGTTTCCAACAGAAATTGTGATATGGTCTGAGACAGAAGAAGATCGCACGGCGGGTAGATTTATTAACAGAAGTTTGTCAACTGCTGCCGGCTGCGGTCACAACACTTTCAAAACCGTGTTAAACTCTCAACCGATAAGTTTGAGTTGGACTTTGGACCATATGGTTAGTCCGCAAGTTAACGTCACTTTTAAGTAAGTGGAACATAACTATAAACGATGAATTTTCTCTGTTGCATTATGGTAGAAGAATAGTTTTTATTTGAAATTTTGAACAAGTGATAAACAGTCAAGGAATAAGTTTCATGTATGTCCCTATCTGACTGATGAATATGATTTAAATATAATTTAACCCCCTGACGTCAAATGTTTTATGGGTCGTGTTCTAAATATAAATGGGAATTTTTTCTATTAATTTCAACAAAAATATAAATCTATTCTCTGATATTTTCAGAACAGTTTTATTTACGAAATAGTTTTTCGGAAAAGATTTGATGCAGCCAATAAAAATTTATTTACATAAAGTATGGTCTGCTACGTTAGTGTCTATTGTACCAGAGTTACCAACAAACGAACTTTAAATTCAATAAATCGATTACATTCTCTACCCTGTGAAAGGACGGCAAGCCAAATATCAATAATAGTAAGTTTTGCAAAAAGGAATTCATGGTCGATTTTACTTAAGATTTGGAAATGATACCCGTATCTCCCCCCTTCTCATTTTAATATTTAATTCGTAACACTTTCAATTTTGATTGTTATTTAATTTTAAGTACAAACTCTAATTAAATGATATTTGGTAAAAAAACACTTTTTGAAAACTTTCACTTAATTTATTAATTTATCACTCATTAATGATCATCAATCCTTCTTCTGAAGATGACCTTGTAGGTCGAAACTTGTTAATAATTTAAAAATTAAGTGAAAGTTTTCAAAAAGTGTTTTTTTTACCAAATATCATTATAATCAACTTTCATACAGTAGACGCCAACTCTATCAATTTTCTCAATCTAATTAAATGAATGCTAATTTTGTTTCAGAGTCCAGTACAAGTTAAAGTCTAGGTCCGAAGTGTATGAGGTCAGCTTAAAAAAACCGATTACAAGAGGTCAGTTAAACCACCCCGCATAATAAGTGTAATTTCTTCGTAAATGCTATCATAAATTTGTGGAAAATTCTGAAAAGTTTTGTCGTCGCCAACTTAATGTTTTGGCTTTGAAACTATGTAGTAGAAAACGAAAAGTGTATTAGTCAGACTTTTCTACACGCCATAAACTTTACCCAACGAAATATTTTACATCATTTGCATAATTAATCGTGCACTTTGAAGAAGAAGCACAGCCAAGTTAGCATGCACTCAAAATACCCACATAAATTATGTTGGCGTCGTAATGCAGCTATCGATTATACAAAATTTCTTAAGCATAAGACCTTAAGTCGTTGTTATTTTATTCAAAATAAGTTAAAAAGTGTTTGCACCTAAAAACTTTCATATCGAAATAATAGAGACATAATTAAATAATGTCACAAACTGGGGCCCATTATTAGCGAACGATAGACAAAGGTCAAAAGGTGAAGCATCAGCCAGCCTTTTTAAATTTTACAGACGATTAAGTACTTGAAAATAAATTATATTTTAAATTTCTCTTAGATATCCGCTTCTTTTGTTCAAAGAATTTCGGATTAATAATTGATAAATAATGAAAGGTTCGATAAAAAAGATGGAGCTGATGCTGTCCGGATGCTGGATATTAGCAGTCCACATCCAGCAACGGAGGTAGAAAGATCTTTGAAGAAGCTCGCCACTTATTCTAGCGAAATGACACCCTTTAAACCCGAATCAAGACAGCATCAGTTCTCCTAGTAACCGCGAAAGCCTTTACCAATAAAAAAGACTATTTTTTTTTTTAATTACTGCATTTGTGTAATTGTTTTGGATGTGAAGATCGCCCTGAAAATACAATTCACTATTGGGATCCGTCAAATGGGAGGAGTCTAAAAACATGGCGCCGATTAGGGAAAATTTACCGTAATTTCCTATACTGTACCGTGCAATTTCCAAGTTTTTAAATTACGATAAAATGATAAGTATTGACACAATATGTGATTGGGCTGACNCAACATCACATCATTCAAACATCAATTTTTAGATTTCTTCTTTATTCAACTTAAGAAAAATCCCAAAAACTTTACAATGAGTTCCTCCTTGTACCTTGTAAATGCCTTGTAAAGAATTCTTGTGCGTTTTCATACCGAAATTGCCCAAGAACTTGTTCTTAACCAAAAATTTTCCTAAAAGCCCGAAAGTGCATTTTCATTCTAAAAGCTATCAGCCACTTTGTGAAGAATTCTCAAACATCATCGCCCAAAAATCATCGTAAAAACCCTAAAGTCTATCAAAATTTTCGTAGAGGATTCAATTTTTATGAAGGTTTTCATAAATTCTTCAGTATCAAACCTTTCAGGTGATAAATCACACCATACCTATAGCTCAAAAGCTTCGCAAGCATTCCTTCTAAATCCACCCAAAACATTTTGTAAAACAATCTGAACTCAAGAAAACCTTGTCAGGTAAGTAATCTCTCTTAACGGCTTCGTTTAATTCTTCAGTCCAAAAGCATGTATCCAAAGTTTGATGCGGATTATGCGGTTGCTTCTTAATTAAAACTTAAGCTCGTAAATAACGTTCACCCTTTTTTTAGGGGGTAAATTTCAACACAGATATGTCCCCGTATAAATTTCTATGTACACATGCATTTAATGTACGCCTGCCTATCGTTAAAACAATTTTAATTAACAACACGTAATACATTAACCGCTAAGATAATATCGGAAATTGGTATCGTTTTCCGTAGAAACATGGAGCTTTCAAACTGTGTGATAATAATAATAGGTAATGCCTCTCCTGTCACCCATCAATTTTCGCGTTATTGGCAATTTCATAAACGATAAAGCATCATTGTCACCCGTTTCCGCAGAAAACGCACCGAAAACTTGCACTCTATGTAGTTAGGTAGTAATGGAATACAATCTAAAGAGATTAAAAAAAAGAGTGATGGTAGGTGATATTTATTTAGGTCTACGCTGTCCTTTCCGTTCTAATTCCACCAGAACAAATAGGAAAACTAACCGGCAATTTTCACCGATAAATTTCCCATGCATAAAGGCCACGAAATTTCGAAAGGCTTTCGCCTATGTGTACCATTACCCTTTGAACTTTTGTCCGTCCATATCGTTTTAATACATAATGTAAAATACTAATCGGTCTCCAGATTAAAACCAACAACCCCTCGTTCTGTCTCGCGACCATATTCCCCTTTACGCGCTCCCTTGTTAATTAATTATTACTAACGTCAGTTTTCCAGAACAGGAACTAGGACAAATTACCGTTATCCGATGAAACAGTCGGTGAGCCGAGAGGGTAATTGTCAAAGCAATCAAACGTGCTATGAAAACAAACACACACACATACATGCACTATACAAACACGCACATGTAATGGCAATGGCGCTGTCAATACTCGAATGTATGCAAATTCGAGGGTGTGGTGGAATACTCTGGAGCACAATGAGAACGGCAGAAAAGAATGGGAACAATATGAGAACGTTTTTTTTGTCATTTGTTTGAAAGCGCGCATATTTCGAGGACAAAATGGGGAAAATAACGTAGGAAATACTTTAAGAAACTTTTAATGGTGGTTGTGGTGGATAAAGATTAAATGAATTTTAAAATTAATAGAGAAAAATAATGTCCAACAGTATTCCTTCGAAATAGGGTAAATTATGAGGGATGTGATCACGGCAACGAACTTACGTGAAACAGAACAGGGCTGAAATTCTGTGGTCTAAATGAACTGTAAGGTCGAGACGTTTCATCGGCAACTTCAGTGATACTGCGGCCACATTGTCAATGCAGTACAACTGAAGATGTCAGCCGCAGTTTCCGATGAAACGTTTGGATCTGATGAGAGTTCGTTTAGACCACGGTTCTTATATTGCAAATGAAGTATCTAAAACTGACATAAGAATATAAGCCTATGGTTGGCATTGAAGGAATGCCAAAACATAAACTGGACAGGCTATGAAGAAAAGTAAATCTGAGCAAGGGTTTCAATGAGTAGGAAAATGAGATGACATTAATGTTTCCTAAAGAATTTTGTTTATGAGTCGAGAAGTGATGGAGACGATTTGGATATGGGAAGTTTGTCTTTTCTCTTTCTCGATTCAAACCTTTCGCAAGCTATTGCTTAACTATCTTAACATTCATCTTGTTTCACAGCCCGGGATACCAGGAACAGGCAGCATTTTGGATAGGAGCGACCGACAAAGTCCACGAGGGTGATTTCCGATGGACTGACGGCTCCCCATTCGCTTTCGCAAGTAAGTATACCGTTCCCCTTTCCGTTGTAGTCAAAAATAATCCCGTCACTTCTCCGATGTTTCTTGCACAGATTGGTTTCCCGGATGGACCCAGTACAACCGGTACAATCGTCAGCCTAACGATGACGGATTAAGCGAACAAGACTGCATCGAATTACGCAGAATGTTTTCTTTACCAACAGGTGGTGCCCAAATTACTTCGTTCATGTGGAACGACAGGGATTGTTCTGCACTCAATTATTACGTTTGCGAGAAATTCCAAAACGAAGGTAAGAATTGTGATATAAATCAGTACACGATATGTCACAAAAATCAGGATCGACGTATCTCCAAAATTGGATGTTCTTTGTACCTATTTAACCACCTAAAATAATCCTCTAATCTTTCGTTCTTTAATCCTACGACAAATTCGTTCTCAGAGGCAGTTGTCGACCCGTGGAAGAACGAATGCAATAAATCTCTTGTTCTGACTCAACAACATCCAAGTGCAGTGATCACAAGTCCCGGATTCCCGAGGCCTTATCCCGATAACATCGAGTGCATTATGGAGATCAGCGCTCCAACATCTTATCGATTACTCTTGGACTTTGAAGAATTGGTCCTCGAGGACGAACCAACGTAATGAGAACACAAAAGTAGTTGTAGTATTCCTCCTTGTACATAATATTCGCAGTAACGCAACCGAACTGCTTTTAATCCTTTATAAGCCTTGCATAATGTGAAGCCCACTTCCCGTGCCCACTCCCCTTCGCTTTAACGACGTTTTAAATGATAAAGAAGAAGAGAAGAACAAATGACGCCAAAGTAATCAAATAGGACGGATTTTTTCGCACTTTAAATAAGTCGAACGCGAGGACGCGCAATTCTAAAAATAGATTCGTCACGATAAAGAGCAAGCTCTCTGCCTATATAGCGGGCAACTCGAAAGGGAAAATAACTCTTTTCAAAAAGTCTAAAAGCGAATGGTAAAAGAAGGTCTACTGAAATGCGGCTTTACGTTCCTGCAAAAAAAAGAAAAAACAAAAATAAAACCTAATGCCTTCAAGTTCTCAGTTTCCAAACCATGAAACGTTATAATGAGTAGAAAGTTCGAGAATATTCTCGGCTGCTAGAAATCTGAACCAAGATAAAAATCGTTTTGAGGCCAAATCCGATCAATAGGGCGGAATATTTTTTTTTAAATTTAACTTACCTATCGTAAGTGTTTTAAAAATTATCAATCGTTTCTAATAGACGATAAAGTAAGTTATAGTTTCATAGGTCGAAACGTTTTTCTTGTGAAATATCCAAGTAAGTAATTACTAATTCTTTCCCCGTTCTAAAGTTTCAAAACTCCTAGTTCTGGTTGCAATCACGTTAATAATCACCGTTAGCACAGTTTGTACAGCACCATTCTACAACTTTTACCCATAAAACTTTCTCGCAAACTATAACTGTCTCTTTGTACGTAACTAGGTTATAAAGTTTCGTTCACGTAACTTCCCAGCGTTAGATACCGGTTCCCGAACAATTTATTTTAATTCTTGAAGTATAAATTGTAAAAGAGCATGAAGATTTTTTCAAAAAAAAAAAGTCGTAATTCATCCTGTTCACCTCTGCTTATCAAGATGTTACACGGGGTACATGTATTTTGTGAAGCTCATTCTGTTTTCGCTTCTATCCATAACAGGTGCAGTTACGACTATCTGGAAATCATGGAACCCGTTTCTGGGGGTGGAAATAACGCGAACGATGCCGGTAACAGCAACAGTAACAACAGCGTCGCGGCGGAACCGACAGCGACGGCAGCGAAAAGGCGACGTCGCCTGTGCGGCGACTGGAGTTCAAAGTTGAAATTGCTACGTCACACTAGCAACGGGTCGAGGATGGTCCTGCACTTCAGCACCGATTACTCTCACCATTATGGAGGTTTCAAAGCGCGGGTTTCAATGAGAAACGGTGAGTGCCCGATTTTTTGGCACCATTCCAATACACAAAATAAAAACATTAAAGTTTCCCATATAACACAAATGCTGTTAACACTTCGCTTCTAGGTATAATGATACGGCGACATCCAGCCCTACTTTTAGCTTCTTTTATTATTTTTTTTTTTTTCAAAAAGGAATTCCAGGTAAACACAATTCTGATAGGGTTGAACACAAGAATCCTTTCTGGTCCACTCGTTAAAACAGTAACTAAGTAGATCTTACGAAGTTGTTGGAAAAGTTAAATCAATAAAAGCGCCTCACTCTCTTAACGACAAGGTGCCGAGATAAACAATCCACGGACCAACTTCCTCGTTAATTATTAACTTCTTAATACAACGGATACCTGCTGCTGCTGCTGCTGTTGTTCGAGGAGAAGGAAAATCTCAGTACCAATTTCCAATGCAATTATCACGGACGCGAGAGGAAATTCTCTCGAAACGAATTTCCCATTCATACGCGAACAATAATAACGAGAGCTAGCGTTAATTAAAACAACACAATCGATAATTGCATTCGGCCAATGTTTTACCATTATCATTACTGTCACGTCATCGGCGTCAAGTACGTAATCTGGTTCACCGGGACGTTTTGGCAATTCTTATCGTGCCCAGAATCCATATTAGCACATGAAAACAGCAATAGATTTACTTTGGATTCTTCCAATATTTTGGTTCTCTTATTTCAGTTAAGCAATGTCATGACGACAGGCTCCAAGTCTTCTACGATTCCTGTTACTTGGTGGTGAGTTATCCGGAAGTTACATGGTCTACGGCGAACCAAATTTGCGAAGGAATAAAGGCCCATCTAGCTTCAGTGTTATCTCCAGAGGAAGAGACCTTTGTAAGCACCAGCATACGCAAGAATTCGGAGTATCGCCTGGGAGCCCTGTACTGGTTAGGAGCCGTGGAGAATACCGACGGACGATTCTCATGGATCGACGAAAACCCGATGGTCTTCACCAACTGGTTTCCACCCACACACTTGTTGTCGTCGCCTAGAAAAAACAGTACCGCACGTCAACACTGTCTCAGTATCCAGTGGACGCCCTCCCAGTCGCGGTCGTATCCCAGTGGACTTTACTGGCGCTCCCACAAATGCGACGCCACCGGGGGCTATGTTTGCAAACGATCGAGGGAAGACTTGAACACAGTGAGGAACTTCAGCAGAGTGGTGAATGGTACGCAGGGTCGGATCAGTAGTCCTAATTTCCCAGAGCATTACCAAAACGATTTGGAGTTTACTGTTCGAATCATTAGTCCGCCGAGGTTCAGGATAGTCATCGAATTCGATCGGATAGATCTCGAATACCAGCCCGCTTGCTTGTACGATTACGTAGAACTTATAAGTTTGAAAAGAGGCAAGGAAGATAAAGAATCCGGCGTCAAATTATGCGGAAGTTACGATACCGACATGCATCGATTCGACCATGTGTCTTCGGGCAACGAAATGACCATCAAGTTCCACTCCGACTACTCGATTTCTGGCAGTGGATTCTCGTTAAGATGGAGGGCTGTAGATGTCAGCGCTTGTCCCTTTCAGACGTTAACATCCAAAGAAGGCCTTATTGTCAGCCCCAACTTTCCGTTCTTCATTCTTCCCAATCTCAATTGCTCCATAACCGTTTTGGCTCCGACGAAGAAACGCGTGTGGTTGGAATTTCTCGATTTCGACGTTTCCGAAAACCTCCAGTCGAAGAATTCCATTTCGCAATCGGAATTTATCGGTGTCGAAATCGATTTGGGCACGGAACTGGCACTGATCCAACCCTATCAAACTGAAGGTCTGGTAACCGAAGGGGCCTTTGTATCAAACAGGGAAGTACTGAAGATACACTTCCGAACAAACGACAGTCCTTCGGGTAAAGGTTTCAAAGCACGTTACAGGATAGTAGAACCAGTCGAAGAAAAAAGAGTCATAAGCTTACGACCTGAAACCGCTGGAGCTTTAAGGCACCTCAATTATCCGGCCGCGCCACCAGGAAACGTGAACTTCCTTCAGCATTTGATAGCACCAATCGGCCACGTGATTTATCTGGAACTTTACAACGTCAAGCTGAAAGAGAGCGAGTGCTCCGACCAAAGGGGATTGATAGAAGTCTACGACATGTACGCCGATACGAACGGAACAGTTTGGAAGTTGTGCTTCGAAGAAACGCTCTCTAAATCGCCCATGGCCATCACTTCGTACGTAAACACCCTGTGCTTTCGGCAGAAAAGCGGTCCATTAGGATTTCCTTTCAACGGCTCTTTGCAAATCCACAACGATTCGCACTTTAAAGAGAAACTGAGAAAACACCATCAGAGTGCTGTAGATTTTTGCGAGCCGAACCCTTGCGAACACGCGGGCAAATGCGTATCAAACGCCAACAAGAGCTTCTGTCAGTGTAATGGACATTTTGCCGGTAAGCTCAATTCACTTTTACTTAATTCATTTTCACCACCAACCACTTAACCCTCCCTACAATTATGACAATAACAAACGGCTTCGAAAACAGGCGCTCATATGGAAATTCTAGGGGTACACAACATTTCAATCATCACGGATCGTTCTCAAGTGGAGGTATTATGCTACTTAATGTCATTAATGTGTAACACTTCTCTTGGGAATGACCCACGGGGGTTGAAACAATATTGTTGGGGATATAATACTTTTAGTAAAGCAATGTCTATTGACAAACCTACAGGGCAAGGTACGGTACCATTTCAGTGACGAAAATTAAAATCTGTTTTTAGTATTTCCTGCAAGACCCTACCCCTCTCCCTCGAAGGGATGAGCTACATACATGTATTCCTATTTTTAAGCGAGATATTACAATTAAGGTCTTTGAAGGGGTGCACGTCTAATTGTCATAGTTTCATTAAACTTTACGAGCGACTCTAATTAGTTGTGTTATTTACATCAGTTCTGCTTCGTATTACCAACGATAAACGTCAACTTCACGCCTGAAATGTTTATTAAGCGGGCAGCTGTAAAATTGAATTTAATGTGTGCATTACCCGAACATGTATATAATATAGCTTTATATCTGCTTCGGGCATGTGAACGCTGGTTGTAAAGTTTAACCTAAAAAAAAAAAATGGGGCTTTGCAAGCACATGTACCCTTAAAACAATTACCTCATTAGTATAAAATTATTTTGGGACGTGGTGTATGTATGTATGTATGTATGTATGTATTAGACGACAATAGCAGTGTGCTTGTAAGAGATTATCTAGGGGCTTGACAAATAAATTACAACCTAGTTAGAGATTGTATGGATTAGTCTAAAGGCCGCTCATATTCTGGTTGGATGCAACTCCAAAAGCTTGGAGCTTTAGCGCCCGACTTAATTGACCCAAATCCAACATTTATGTCGCCTAAATCAAGATTTGCGAAACTGCACTATCTTTCCATATGTGTTAGTTTGCGCATGTATCATCATTATATGTATACCTGTACATAATACAATATTTACCTACACGGTTTAGAAGCTTAGCAATAAACAATTAGCGCCTTACGATCATCTCAATCAACGAAGAAATCATTTATCCTGCTACACATGACCCTTAAAGGGATCATAAAATCCATTTATCGCAGTGCCATGCGAAGTCGGTTACGCACAAAAAATTAAATTCAAACTACGAGAAAACTTTTAAAATCCTACCTTTACTGCTTATTTGTAGTCCACTGGAGGGAGGAGGAGTTGAAACTATTAGTCCAAATAACACCACCGATTACACTACACACCGACACTGAAATAAAAAAAATAGTATTAATATTTACAGTATAGATGGAAAATTCATTTAACTTTTTATCCACTGGAAATTACTTCTAATTAATGAAGGAAAAAATTGTTGCTGCTGTTACATCCTCGCAGGGAATAGAACCCGGGACCTTTAGGTTTACGTACCAACGCTTTAACAGCTAAGCTACGAAAGGTGACAGCAACAACAACGACAAAACGTATTTATCAGATCACAAATGCGTCAAACTAATGTACATATATTAATTGATTAATTTGACAGAAAGATAATTTATAGTGGATCAAAATTAAATTAATTTTTACATTAATATTGAAAGCATTTCATATAAATATTGACAAATTCATACATTAGGTACACTAAAAAGAAGCAAAATATTATATTTTAAGTTTTTAATTAGGAATATATTTTTCATTTCATTGCCCCCTTAGGTCTGTTCTGCGGTTTGACAAAATGCGAACTGAACCCGTGCATCTTCGGCACCTGCGAACTGACAGGGAACAATTATAAGTGCCACTGCGAGCAGGGTTACAACGGGCCCAACTGCGAGTCGAAACAGAAACCGTGCGAGAACAACCCCTGCGAGAACCGGGGCGTGTGCATCGAAAAGGGCACCAATTTCCACTGTCAATGTCACGCGTGGTGGGAAGGTCCGAGGTGCGACAAGCGAATGTTACACATACCGTTCAAACCTCTCAGTCAACGTATGCTGGAGGAACCTTTCTGGTTGGGACTTATCACCGTCACCGTCGTCATGGGAGTGATCGGACTCTTCTGGTGCGCCAAGAGACATTTCCCGGAGAAAATTGAAAAGCTACTGGCCGAGGAAAGCGAACGGAGTCGCAGTAATCGTAAGCACCTTTCTGTTGTCATGAAATAATCCAATTCAATTCGTTGTTCCTTTAGTTCCATCGTTGAGAACGTCGCTGAGAGAACAACTGGCAGCTTCGAGTGCGTCAACTGTGACGGTGATACCTAGCCCAGGTTCA